CTATGAGAGGAAGTGACTTCTGTCCTCATGACCTCAGTAGTAGCAGCACTGGACACTTGGGGAAGGCCCATGCTTGTGGCTATGGCTGAGCTGCTATTCTTGGAGACACTGGCCTTCCTCAGTCCAGTGGTCTGCATGGAAATTGGTTCTGTCCCAGGACTTTCTGATTTAGGAAAAATGGCAGTTGAAGAACTATTGGTGGTCTCCACAGTGGAGGTAATAACTATTGGGGAAATGGCCTTGTGTGACTCTGAGTGGGCAGGGGCAGAGGAACGTGGCTCATGGCTAGAACTTGTGGCCCACAGAGTGGTCAGTGATGCTTCCGTAAAAGGAAACGTTGTCTCTGTGTCTGTAGTGGTCTTAGAAGTGGCCATTCTCTCACTGGAGGAGTTGAGCAAAATTGGAGGTGTTGTGGGCCCAGCTCCAGAGCTTGTGTCCATGAAAGCTGTTGTCGTCACTGGCCCAGAGATGTGAGAGAACTCATTGATGGTCCCAAGTGAGATAGCAGTGGTCCCTGTCATCTCAGTCAGTGGTATGGTTGAGGTTGTCGGTACCTTACTTCTAGAAATAGGTGAGTCTGTCATCTCTGACAGAGGATCCTGTTCCTGAGCACCTGAAACAAGGGCCAGAGTTCCCACTGTGGATGCGGACTGTCCAGAAGGATTGACTGCAACTGTGGGCTTCTGTCCTGAAGTTGTAAAAGCTGTGTGTGGAAGCAGGATAGAACTCTGTTCTGCCTTTCTGCTAGTGAGCACAGGTGTCCCTGTAACGGTCACCTCAGTGCTGCTGACAATCTGAGGCAATGAGACTCCACCTGTTGTGGCCTTTGAAGGGGATGGTGGCAGTGAGGTTGATGGGCTTGTACTGGGTTGCACGGTAAGATCTTGGGATCTTGTATCTCCCCCATAGGTCAAACCTGTTAGGGTTGTTGAAGACACAGACTGTCTAGTATCCAAGTTCAAGGTGGACACATCAGTCATAAAAGTAGGAAGGGAGCTATTTATGTGAATTTGTGTGCTTGGTGGCTCAGAAGTAATAGAAACACTTAGTGCTGTTCCTTCAGGGCCTTTGGGTATTTGTTTTATACCTGATATCTCAGGGACTGAGGTGCTTGTCTCCTGGTCTTGAGGATAAGTTGTCATGGAAACAGATGTAATTGTGTCTGCTGGACTTGAGTTTCTCACACTCATAGTGACCTCTGTGAATTTAGTTGAGTAAGAGGAAAGTGTGCTGGCCATACTAGTTCCAGTCAAAGTTATAGAGTGATGAGTAGAGCCTGTGTCAGTGCCTGCTGTTAAAGAAGAATATGTCCTTTCTGTAGAAATGATGTTGGGTGAAACAGTGACATGCGAGGGGGCTGCTGTGTCCATGACAGTCCACTTTGGATTGAAGGGTGGAACAGCAGTGCTGGTCTCTGTTACCTGGATGTTGTCTGTGGTCCTGGAGTTCCCCTCTGGGCTAGATATTATAGTTGGAAGTGAGCTTGATCCCACGGGACTGGAGATGTTGATACCTGGAATAGGGGCCCCACCCTTGCTTGTTGGTCTTGCAGGATATGATGTCACAGAAAGGGTTCCAGGTGGAGGGGTAGCTTCAGTGGTTGCCCATGCTACGATAGAGTCAGATTTGGCTTTCACTAAAGATGAGGTAGCAGATGCAGTTTTCTCTTCTGCCACATTGGTGAGGCTGATAGTGACTGAGCCTTGTGACCCATCAGAGGTCCAAGGTCTTGTTGAAATGATGTGAGCTGTGGAAGTGGTACTACTTGTGTCTGTGTCCTCAGGGGAAGTACCTAGAGTCAGGTCACTCACAGCTGTCTGCTGTAATGATGGGTGAGCAGATGAATAAGCCTCACTTCCAGGACTATTTGTCCACTGTTCAGCTGTCATTGTCTGTTTACTCAGGACAGTGGGAGGAATGACCGTGGTGCTGACCCATGCCCTGGGTCTAAGTTCAGATTCATCTGTCACTGAGCTTGTGGTTACCTTCAGGATTGTAATGAAGCTTGTTGCAGAGCCTTCTAAGTCAGTTGAGGATGTACTTTGAGGAACATGTATGTCTGCCGTGGTCCCTCCAGTGGGGCCAAGCCATGTGGACAAGTCCATTTCAGCTGCCTTGGGAGTCACAGCAGGGCTGCTTTGCTTGCCAATCTTTGTGGTACCACTAGGATTTGACTCTGAGAGGACAGAGGACACTGTGTCCCATGACTGGCTGGTCTCTCCTGGTGTCCCAGAATAAAGGCTGGCCCACGACTCGGATGGGGATAAAGAGAGTGAGGTCCTGTCTGTAGCCACTGTTCTTTCTGTTGGTGACTCCATTGGCTCTGTGACGCCTGTGTGCAGGTGAGGGAGTCTGCTGCTGCTACTCTCTGTGGCCTTGGGCTGAAGAGTAGCCACTCCCACCATGGTATCTCCTGGAGAACTTTCTTTCAGAGTTGTCATGGGAGAAGTTCCCACAGTGGACCTGGTCCCTGGGCTGCTTCTGGGCTCCTTGGAGCTTGGATTTATGAGATCTTCAGGTGTTCCTGGACTTCCGGTGGGCAGACCTGTGATTAGAACAGCTGTTTGGTTAGAAGGTGTGCAAGAAGGTGGGAGTCCTTCTGGTTTTGATTTTCTTTCCTCCCTCCTTATAAATCTGTTGGAAGCACACTCTGCCCATGTTCTGGCTCTCTAAAATAAAACCTGTTGCCATTGAGTCAAGTCCAAGTGTCCCAGAGTGGAACCACTCCATAGGGTTTTCTTGGCTATAATCTTTACCAAAGCAGATCACTAGGCCTTTTTTTTCTGCAGCACTGTCAGGTAGATATGAACCGCCAACCTTGAGGTTAGTAGTTGAGTACAAACTAATCATCCCACCCAGGGAGCTTCTGGCCCTCTAGATGGCAAGAACCATTTTCTATCCTTATGTCTCACATGAGGTATAGCACCTTGGCCTCTTGCTGGTTTGCAGAACTCACTTTGGCACTAGAAGTTTCTATCTGCAGCACGGCCTCTACCCAGACCTATTTACATGGCTATTATCATAGCAAAGCATAAAGACTTCACTCAGGAACAAGGAAAAATCTCTCCCTTCTTTTACTTCTTTCTTCCTCCTCGGGACTAGGATTTAATCAACTTATTTCAGATTGATAAACTACCTTTCTCTCTAGGGCCTCAAAATTTGTGTCTGGTAGGGGCCACTGAGCTTCTGTCAAGGGTGATGGGAAAATTGGGGAACAGCGGTACTGGTTGAACAACAAGATGAATATATTTAATGTCACAGAACTGTACATGTGAAGATAGAGTGTTGAAATGGCAAGTTTTTTTTTTTTTTAACCTATATATTTACCACAATTAAAAAATGGTTAAAAACAAAACAAACAACCAAATAAAACCAACTTTGTGTCTAATTGAAAGCTAGCTCCATGGTTCCGCTTTAATAGGCAACAGGCTAGGGGAAGAGGAAGTTAGGGCAGCTTACTCCCTGTATATTTTTATATTTTTCCAACTCCTTCATCACCTTACAGTTCTTTCAGTTTCCAGTACTGAAGAACATGTCACATGACTGCTTCAGGAATCAGGACAATAGTCCTCATCAGCCTCACTACCTCAAGTGAACACTTCCCCTCAGCTACAGGCCATGTATTTAAAGCCACAAAATAGGGCCGCACTTTTCTAGTTTTTTTTTATTATTAATAAAAAAATGTTATTGCAGTCAACGAATTATCCCCCAATGTTCACCCTTCTTCACTGTCAGCCTCTCACCTTACTGATGATCTCTGATCTAGGAAGCCACTTCACCCTTAGTCAGGGGATGTGTAGAGAAATGATCTTGTGTCATCTGCTAAGAGTGAAGTGATTGTCTCCTGATGACATAACAAACTAGAAGCATTGAATGTTAGGTGTGAATAAAATCGCCATGAACAAATATTATCAATAACCTCCTTGTATAACAGCAGGAAGTCATCCTCATGTAGGAGTCCCCGGGGTAGTGCAAACAGTTAACGTGCTTGGCTGCTAACTAAAAGGATGGAGGTTCAAGTCTACCCAAAGGCACTGCAGAAGAAAGGTTTGGCAACCTATTTCCTAAGAATCAGCCATTGAAAACTATATGGAGCACAGTTCTGCTCTGACACACATGGAGTTGCCATGAGTTGAAATCAGCTTGATGGAAACTGATTTTTTTTTTTTTTTTTGATGCTCACCTACTAGAACCCAGGACTTAAAGAATCAAAGCCTTTATTCCAGAGGCTAGGAGGAAATCCCCAAGTAGAGAGCACAGATGGTGATATGTGCCCAGATCCACATTGTCGGCAGTCACTAGAAACTTAGGATCACTGGCTGACCAC